GGCCAGGTGTACTTCCTTCAGCCTGGTGTCCACCTCTGCCCTGGAGAGCAACGGCTTCATGATGCTCTGGAGTCCCAGCCTAAAGCAGGGTTTGCTGTGACTGTGTTTGAGTGCAGGCCCGAGGCTCTTCTGTGTGGTGCTGAGTGCCTCTGGGCTCCCTGGCAAGCTTCATGGGCCAGGGTTTATCTGATCCTGTCTGACCACTTGGAATGTCTTTGACCAAGAAATTGAACTTTGCTCGTAAGTTGCATGCAACAGTGACGACAGTGACAGCCCTGAAATACAGCTACTATGTTTTTTGTTTGGTGACAACTTTTACTTTAGCACTAAATTGCTGGAATTTTTAAGGGAGTACTTTTTATTTTTCAAAATTATAGATACCTTACTTCCCCATGGCACATGAATGTTTTGTTCTTCAGTTTTCGAGCCAATTTTGAGTATGTTGTCTATGGCTCTCTGCTGTTGCTGAAAGCAGCAGTGCTGTGTTGTGTTCTTGCAGCGGTAGAGTATTGGGTGATTGGTGTGTTCATTTGTTGAAGAACTATTTGCTGAGCATCTTCTGTGGGCCAGATGCTGTCAGTCCACCAAAGCACACAGGTATAGCCCTCGGTAAACTTGTATTCCTTTTTCTTTGTTGTTGGTTTTTTTTTGTTTTTTTTTTTTGTTTGTTTGTTTGTTTGTTTGTTAATAGACAGGGTTTCTCTGTGTAGCTCTGGCTGTCCTGGAACTTACTTTGTAGACCAGGCTGGCTTCAAACTCACAGATCTGCCTGCCTCTGCCTCATTAAAGGCATGTGCTGCCACCACCTGACTCCAGTGAGGATGTTTTTTGTTTTGTTTTGTTTTGTTTTGTTTTGTTTTGTTTTGTTTTGTTTTGAGACAGAGTTTCTCTGTGTAGCCCTGGCTGTCCTGGAACTAACTTTGTAGACCAGGCTGGCCTCAAACCCGGAGATCGGCCTGCCTTCCGTCCCAAGTTCTGGGATTAAAGGTAGGCACCACCACCCCCTGGCCTAATGAGCATAATAAGAAAGGTGGCTACAGATTACCAAATTGCCCAGTGTGCTGGTTGTTTGTTTGTGTCAGCTTTATTGAGATGTCATTAGTGTGTCTTATTTGCTCAATAAAGTGTACAGTGGAATGCTCTTGAGTAACTTGCTGGCTTGTACACCATCTGGTGAAAATCAGTGGATTTTAATGTTATCTGTGCTCTCCCCGAGAAGAGCCCATGTTCCTTAATGGTCATTCTCCATCCTTCTCTGTTTCCGCTGCAGTGTTAGGCAGCCACTGGTCTACTTTCTGTCTCTGTGGACTTATTATTCTGGACATCTCAGACCAATAGAGTCACATAATAAATCATCTTTTCTGTCTGACTGTCATCATTTAGTATAATGCTTTCAAGATTATCCCTACTGTTGCAAGGTTAGGGCTTGATTTCTTTTTTATTCCCTAATACCATTCCACTGGGTGTGTATACTATATTTTATTTATTCATTCACAGGCATTTGGGCATTTTAATTATTTTCACCTTTTGCCACGATGAAACTGCCGCTCTGAGCTTTTCTGTGCATGCCCTATAGATATTTCTCTTCATGTCTCTTGCATAAGTGCTTATGAATGGAATTGCTAGAATGGTGTGTTCAGTATTATGGGACCTGCCAGGTGTTTGCCAGTGTAGCTGTTAGACTCCCAGCATCAGCCTCTGAGGCTCCCAGTTTACCCAGTCCTCACCAGCACTTGCTGATACATGTTGTTTTTAGTATCCCTTTCTGCCTTTTTGCTCATTTTAAGGGTTAGTTGTCTACTGCAGCCAAATTGTAAAAGTTTTATTGTCATTGCTCTTGTTATTTTTACATTGCTGCATAGTGAATGCAGGGCTGTGTCTGAGTTAGGCAAACTCTCCACTTAGCCACATCTCACTGATATCCTTATTTGTTTGGTTGTTTGTTTGAGGTTTTTTGAGACAGTCTGGCTATGTGGCTCAAGCTGGCCTCAAATTTGTAATCTTGGTGCCTTGGCCTCCAAAGTGCTGTAATTTGAGGCATAAACCATGATGCCTCCAGCTCCAGCTCCCCAGAATGCTTTTCCTTTCTGCATGCAGTCCCTCATCAGATACGTCATCTGTAAATTCTTTCTCTGTCCTACAGGTTGTCCTTTCATTTCCTTGATGCAGTCATTATAGCACAGATTTTAATGTGGAAGGAGTTCTAATTTATCTGTTTTTATTTCTGTTACTTGTGTCTTTGGTGTTACAAATTTGGTGTTGGGGCTCAAATCCAAGGCCACAAAACCACTTGTACTTCTTCTGAGTGTTTTAACTCTTTAGCTTTGGCTTTAACGCGTATATTTAGATCTTTGACTTATTTGAAGCTCATGTAGTATGTGGTGTAAGGCAGGGGTTCAGTCTTTTACAGACAAGTGCCTACTTGCCCTAACACTGCTTATGGAAATAGCTGTTCCCTTCCCCCATTCAGTAGCCTTCATATCCTATTGAAAATCAGTTAGCTTAGACATAAGAGTTTATTTCTGGAGTCTCAGTTCTGTTCTTGGATCAGTGTGTCTATCTTTATGCTGTAGTGTACTGTCTTGATTTATGTGACTTAGGTTTTACGTTGAGATATATTGGTCATCCAGCTTTGCTATTTGTTTTGTGACTGCTCTGGATCTCTCATATTTCCTTGCTAGTTTTAGGGTTAGCATGCTGGCTCTTACCAAAAGAATTAAGCTAGCAGGATTCTCTGGAATACCAAGTTGTTATTAGGAAATATCACTGATGTAACAATATTAAGCCTTTTTTTCCAAGAACATGGAATATTTTTCTACATAGTTTAGTTGTCTCTAATTTCAGCAGTATTTTATAGTTTGCTTAGTATAAGTGTGAAGTTTGTCTTGTCAAATTTATGTCCAAGGATGTCCGGTTTTTTGATATGACTGAAAGGTTTTTTAAATTTTACTTTGGTTGTTCATTGCTATAGTATAAAGAATACAAGTATAAAGTATAAAGTACAAATAGTTTTTGTATGTTGATAGTGTGTCTTGTGGCCTTACCGATAATTTTTATTGTTTTCTTTTGAGACAGAGCATTATATAGCTCTGGCTGGCCTAGAACCCACCGATACAGAACAGAGTAGCCTGGATCTCACAGAGCTTTGCCTTCCTCTGCCTACCAGGTGCTGGGATTGACAATGTCCTGCTACAGGAAGTTGTCTTGTTTTATTTACTATGGTTCTGGGGGCAAAGCCCAGGCCATGGACACACAAGAAAACCACCACACTCGCCCCTGAGCTGTCTCCCTACCCAGTGCTAGCAAAACTCTTCAGTGGATTGCTTAAGAGTTTCCATATACAAAACCATCTCTGCAAATAGAAAGATGGATGTGCTACTGCACACCAGTGACCCAGAACTCCAAAGGCCAAAGCAGATTCACCGTGAGGCCATCTTGAGCCACATTATGAGACCCTATTTAAAACAGACATAGACACAGAGGAAGGGCTGCAGCTTCCTTCTGAGCTGAGTGCCTTTTTTCTCTTTACCCTGTAAGAATCTTCCAGTCCAACACTGACTGGGAGAAGTGACAACAGACACCCTTGACTTTTCCTGCTTTAGGAAAGCATTCAGTCTTTTATCTTAGGCCAGAGGGTTTGCTTTCATTTCTGTCTTTGCTGCCACCCCTAAGACCTCGTCATTTGTACTTCCCTGCACTGAAGAATGAGGAAACCAATTCCAAAGACCTTCCCTGATAGGTTGTTTTGGTTTGGTTTGGTTTGGTTTGGTTTGGTTTGGTTTGGTTTGGTTTGGTTTGGTTTGGTTTTTCAAGACAGGGTTTCTCTGTGTGTAGTCCTGGAACTCAATTTGTAGACTAGGCCAGCCTTGAACTCACAGAGATCCACCTGGGTCTGCCTCCCAAGTGCTGGGATTAAAGGCATGCACCATCATACCCAGCTCCTGCTAGGTTTTAACATCTGTATACCTCTCTGGTGTTTTTACTGTTTCTCTTGGACATTGCTTAGATGTCATATGGAACCAGCAAGGTCTTTTGTTTTGAGACAGGGCATTATGTAGCCCTTGCTGGCCTAGAACCTACCTATACAGAACAGAGTAGTCTGGGTCTCACAGAGCTTTGCCTTTGCCTGCCAGGTGCTGGGCTTGAAGATGTCCTGCTACAGGAAGCTGTCCTGTTTTATTTACTATGGTTCTCGGGGTGAAACCCAGGCCATGGACATTTTAATTTTAATGCATTTTAATGCAAGTTCTTCTTAATACCCCAGAATGGGTATTCTGGGAGCTGGTGAGATGACTCAGCAGTTAAGAACACTGGCTGTTCTTCCAAAGGTCCTGAGTTCAATTCCCAGCAACCACTATAAAGGGATTGCATGCCCTCTTCTGGCATGTAGCTGTACATGCAGACAGAGCACTCATACATTAAAAAAAATTACATACATACATATATAAATTTTGGGCTGTAGAGTTGGCTCAGTGGTTGAGAGCACTTGTTGTTCTTGCAAAAGAACCAGGTTCAATTCCCAGCACCCACATGGAGGCTTACCACTTCCTCAGGCACCAGACATGCATGTGGTACACAGACATATGTGCAGGCAAAGCACACATTAATAAAATAAATCTTTTTAAAAATACTCCTTCTGCCTACCTCTGTTGCTCATGATTCTGATCACCATCAAAACAGGTAGAATTTACAAAAATCGATACATTGTAAGCAAATGGGTTCTGAGTTGGGCAGTGCTAGGCAGCCTTTAATCCCAACACTTGGGAGGCAAAAGCAGGTGGATTTCTGAATTCGAGGCCAGCGTGGTCTACAGAGCTAAATCCAGAACAGCCAGGGCTACACAGTGAACCCCTGTTTCAAAAAGAAAGGAGGGGGGTGTTTCACATGCCCTTTCCTGTGACTCTTTCAAGAAGGAAATCTTAGCTTAAAGACCCAGTCATTTCTATAAGAAAGCGCAGCTTCTGCCTCCTCATCTAACAGTCAGGCCTCTGTGTTTTCAGACTCTCAGCGTTCTCATCTCTCCTCCTTCACCATGAAGCTGATGGACAAATTCCACTCTCCTAAAATCAAGAGAACACCATCCAAGAAGGGAAAGCCAGCCGAGGTGTCGAAGATCCCTGAGAAACCCGTGAGCAAAGTAAGCTGCATCTCTAGGTGTCTCTCCTGGCCCGGCCTGCAGGCAGCTGTGGGCTGCCTGTGTGTAAGTGCACTAACTCGGGCCATCTGTGTCCCTAGGACCCGGGGCCTCTAGGATGGGGCGTTCCTGTCCTGATAGTCAGTCCGGCCAGTGGCTTGGACAGTCCTCTATCATCCTTTGGGCATTTAAAGTAGCTCAGAGCACTGTGCTCACCTGGTGCTGCCTCCCACCCTGGGGAACTCTCACACAGGGCTCTGATGGCCTGAAGCTCAGGGTCTAGGCTCTGAGTCTCACAAACCCAGCATCCCGTCTAAAGACACCCTCCAGCACTAGTGAGCTCAGCAGGGCCAGCTGAGTCAGATGTATGGGACAGCTGTTGATTCTCATTAGCCTCTCCCTCCAGCCGGCAACGTCCATTTCAAGCTCTGTAGGAATCCAGGTTTCCTCTCTTCCAGGAGGCAAGAGACAGATTTCTACCAGAGGGCTACCCTATCCCCTTGGATCTGGAGCAGCAGGCAGTAGAATTTATGTCCACCAGTGCTGTGGCTTCCAGGTCTCAGAGGCAGAAGGTCAGTGTGACATTAAGAACAATTGGGGTTGCCTTGCCTTCCACTGCAGAACTCTGGTCCGTGGTCTGGGGATGGAAAAATACCTGTGGTGATGTCATTGTGTCTTAGCTGGGTGACAACTATATGGGCTCACATATTTGATATAATCTATCTATCTGAGTGGTCTTGATGGGGAGGGAGCTCAGACTCCACAGCCAAAGTTTGGGTCCTTTTAAGAGTGATGTCTAGTGGGTGCTGGGGCTGATGGGCAAGTGTCACCTTTCCAGAGTGGCTGCTCTCCCCCTGAATTGCTGAGATGATGTGTATGGTTTATTGAGAAGGCTTCTAAAGCCTTGGGATGCTTGCCAACTGCAAGGTTCTCAGCAAGGAGCACCTGTGTCAGCAGCACTGACACTGACAGGGCCTCTTCCCTGCCTTATGCTGAGTGTTTCACCCCCTCTCTTCTCAACAGCCCTGGCCAGAAACCTGCCCTGCTTAAAAAGAGTCTCTATAGATGGGGGGGGGGGGGGGGGAGTTATTTAGCTAAAGCCACAAAGTAGTGCTTAAGTCAGAATTGAATACAGACCCTCGATTCCAGAGCCTGAGTGTTTGGGGCTCTTTTGTGGTACTGAGGGTCTGACGGGGCCTCAGGCCTCCTAGGCAAAACTTTTACCCCTGACCTACAGCCTCAGTCCTGGGTTTTGTTTGTTCATTTTGTTTTGTTTGAGATAGGGCATGGCTTTCTAGCCCAAGCTGGTCTTAAAGTACAATCCTCCTGCCTCTGTCTCCTGAATGCTAGGATCCCAGGTATATGCCAGCATACTCAGCTGCTATATGTCTTCTGGGAAGAAATCAACCCTGAATGTGTTTGTTAATGTCTCACAAATCTAAATGTTCATTTTGGTGCACTACTTTATATTAAAAAATACAATTAACAATGTAAAATGAAATCAAGTTTTGCAGATGAACTGATCCCCTGTCCCTGTAACTGTCCAAGGGCAATTGAATGCAGAACTGTTGTCATAACTGTCAGTTTAATGTGGCTCGCAAACATTCCCGTTTATGTGGGCAGGCAGAGCACCTTGAAAGTCTAATTAAAGAAAAAGTAAGGTTTGTGAGCCAGAAACTTGTGTTGAATGACTTGCTGCCCATGAGCAAGAGGGCAGTACTTGGCATTATCAGGTGCTCTACTTCCATATGGATGAGCCTTGAGCAGAGAGGGGCTTGCTGTGTGTCATAGAAGGCACAGCACACACACCTTTAGGCCATGCAGCGTAACTGACCTACTGACAAACAGCTTGGCTCTGCAAGAGAATGCTGATAGGAAAGTGCTGAGCACTTCAATCCTGGACTCTTTCCTTTCTTTATGTATTGTCCAAAGAAAGGTCATGCAGGAAACTTTGATATAAACATACCCTTCACTTAGCAAGGTGTCTGCAGGCTCCAGCATTTTCAGTTGTCATTTCAGGAGGGTGAAGCCCGAGCTGCTGGATGTCCCGTAGGTAGGAGGCAGTAGTGCTGGCGAGCATCCTGTAGCAGCAGGCTGTCTTCCCCAAGGCCCTAGATGTTTGTAGTGCTGAGGTGAGTTCTGCCCTAGAGCAGGAGCGCCAGTCCAGCCTCAGCGGTAAAACTCAGCCCTGCTGTCCCAAGGCCCTTAACCAGTGTGAACTGCTGTTTAGTGCAGCCTCCGGAATAGAGCCTGCTGCAGCACATAGGTGAGAGAGGACAGTGTCCAGAAGCCTTGTGCTATGGGGAAGGTGCTGCTGCCTGTCATCATATGTTGTTCATTCTCTGTCACCTCTTACAGATTATTTGCATATATGTTTCCTGTTATCCCACATGTGACTTTTTCTGTTAAACACACAGGAGTTGAGTGCAGATCCAGACTATTGCTGCTCCCCGAGTTTCTCTTTGTCCAGCCCCTGTGGTTCCATACCTGTTGCTTTATTTATTCTGCTCTAGCATGTGGAGAGGGCTTTAGTTATTTCTAATAGACAGTATTGTCTGTGGCCCAAGTTTTCTAATTAAGTATTTTGTCCACTATATGCCATTGTCTTTCCAGCCTGGTTTTATCTAGACACAATAGTCTTCTCATAGAAAAAAAGATGTCAGCTCTTTTAGAACATTTTAGCAAGCCTAGCATTGAGCTGTATTGTTAAAAGTAGCAGAGAAAGTTTAGTCACAGCCTGAGAGTCCAAAGCTGACCACCGTTATCTATATGATCACTTAACAGTGTCCAGAAGGGATGCAGATCAGATGAGTTTTCCAGCCATCAGGGCATCTAGACCTTGGCTGGATCCTGAGGGCTCTCCTGTGGACTCCTAGAGCGTTTTCCCTTTTAGCTCTGCAGGTTTCGTGAAAAGCAGGCAGAGAGATGCCCCTGCTGTAGGACCTGGCACAGCTGAGCTCTGTTAGTCATGCCTTCTTGCAGGACCTGGCTGTCAGGTACAGAAGAAGGAATAATGTCTTTACATGATCCTAGTGCCAGGTTTTTGTTGTGTTATGTTATTGTAGCCCTGGCTGTTTTGAAACTTGCTATGTGACCAGACTAGTCTGGAATTCAGAGAGACTGACTACCTCCGACTTCCGAGTGCAGACATTAAAGGCATGCCCCGTCAACCCAACCTGGTTCCAGTTTTTACATGCTGATTCTAATTGCTCCCCACCCACTGTGCTTCAGTGCTATGAACACAATTTAGTTTCCATGAAGCAGAGAGGCCAGGGCTGCCAGTAGAGCAGGGTCCCTGATGGTACAGGCTGGGTGTCTAATGCTGCTCTGATGTGAGGCAGTAGCTGAAGACCAGGACCGTTTTGTATTCCTTCGTTTTCCACTATAGCTGTACTGTTCTGTTCGGTGGCTCCGGACAGAAAAAGCACAGGTACTGTGGCATCACACTACCAGGAAGGAGAATGGCACGTGCGCGCACGTGTGTGTGTGGGGGTTCTGTGTTGCTGGGACCATGTGTGTGAGAGCAAGTCTAACCATGATGTTAGGCTGGTCTCAGACTTGTATTTTTGCCTCCTCTGCCTCCTGGATGCTGAAGCTGTGAATGTGCACCACCACACGAGCTTCCTCACACTTTTGATCTGCCTTTTTTTGTACTGTCCAGACCATGGAATGAAACGTACTAGGTTCATATTCTAATTTTGTCACCCAGCTGTGGGATTTGGGGCAGGTTACCTACCTACCTACTCCCTTCCTAGCCTCAATTTCCCCACTTAAGAATTAATCGCATCTGTTCTGTGGGGAACCTGAACAGAAACAAGTGCATCCGAAGTGTAGAGCCCTGTGGGTGGCTTGAAGCACTCAGAGTGGCAGCTGTGACCTGGCTCTTTCCTCCCTACTCCGACTTTACAGCCTTTCTCCTCCTGCATTTTCATACTGACCCTGGGATGGAACCCATGGCCTTTGTTATGGTAGGCAAGTGATCCCTGAGCTCCAGCTTCAGGCACCTACTTTGACTTCTTTCATATCACAGGGCAGATGCAGTCACCTGTCCACAGACAAGGAACTGGAATCTACTGTCCCAAGTCCAGCTTGGTGTGGATCTAAGCCCTTCCTAGGATTAACAGCCTCACAGGGTTCCCAAGCTTCTGGGGACAAGTGGTAGTAACTACTCCCCTTGGGTGGGAGAGGTATGCAGGTTGACTGTCATTCTGAGGTGACTATAGCCCAGAGTTCTGACTGCTAACCACAGTGGAACACCTGAAGGGCTCAGAGTGTACAGAGCATTAAGAGACCATTGATTAAGGCATGGGATTTGTTAGAAGGTAACAGATGCTGCCTGACTTGGCTGAGTCCTTACTTGGCTCATTTATTGAGTCCAGTTAGCCTGGCCTGTATGTGGCTGGTTTGATCTCTCAATGACAGGAAAAGCCTTTCTGTTCTAGAGTCCCTGCGCTTTCAACTGTTCCAGCTCCCGCTTCACTCTTGCCTGTGTGTGTGACGTGCTTTCTAAAATACTTCCTGTTTCCTCACCAAGTTTATCACTGTTGCCTTCCAGCACTTTTTGATGTGCCAAGACAGCAGTGTCTGTTTTCATTGTCCTGCTGTAGCCTTACTGATCTCCATGTTGTCACGAGCACCGTGTGTCCTGGTTACTCAGCCTGGCCCAGCCATGGTGGGTTACGGCGATGTTGAGCACTCTTATCCAGGCAGTAGAGAAACCAGAGCTCAGGCTCTTGGAGGCAGGCAAGATAGGAGGAAAACAGTGAGGACACAAGGAAGGCTGAGGGCTCTTGGTGGTCTACAGAGCACCCCAAGAAGCCATGCCAGGCCTTTGGAAGTTATCTGACTAAAGTACTGTTTGTATCCGTTTATCGGTTTTTCTTTCAGAGTTCCTATGAAATACTGGATTTTTAAAGTTTTAAATTCTATTCCCTGACATTACCTGGGGATAGGGGAGATTGAATATTCAAAAGGATAATCACCTTGCATAATACTTTTGCCATGTATTTATAGATATTGCTTAAACTTCTTGCCCTCAGCTGCTGCTATTCACACTCTCTGGACCTTAGGGAACCCACACGTGGCTTCGCCTGTCCACATACCTCCTCACTCTTTGTGTAGACTGTCCCTTTGTGGAACTGTCCACTCTAGATGACTCTCAAAGTCTGCTTCTGCTCACCCCCTGGGATCTTGGCCACTGGAGAAGGGAGGTCGGGGAAAGAAACCAAACATGTATGCCAGGTGTGGATCCAAGGCTACCCACAATCAAGGAGAAAGAAGAGTTTGGAGTTAGGAAGGGAAATACAGGGTTCTGTTTTGGTTTGGTTTGGGTTTTTTGTTTTTTGGGGTTTTTTTTGTTTGTTTGTTTGTTTTTGGTTTTTAGTTTGTTTGTTTGTTTTGTTTCCCTTCTAGATAGCTTTCCTTGGAATCAGAGTGCCCAAATGCATTAGCAGCCATTGCACTAGTATTCACTGAATTACTGACATTGGCTCTGGCTTCCTCATCTCCTCCGTCAGCCCTGGGATTAGAGTCCTTTGCATATCACATGTCTTTAGTGGGAAGGGAGCTATAATTTGAGTAGCACTGTGTGGGGATCTAGGGTGGGCTATCAATGCTGCCAGTTCCTCAAATCTTTAAATCATGGGTTTAATTCTAGGATAAGTATATGTGCCCTGGGGCATGACTGTTGCTCCCTCAGGTACTCATTGAGCTCTCACTGCACACTGGGAGATAAGAAGTGCTATCTTAGGTAGCCAATTAGAAGCAGAGGAGAGTATTTTCAGGATCTCAGAGTGTGGGAACGGAATCCCCAAGTCTCTAAATGACCCTTCTAGTCCTAAGCTTGTCTTTCTTCTTGTTAGCTTCTGTCTCCTAATCACAATCCTTAGAGAAACAATCTGGCTTGGTCTCTGATACCAGAACATTTTCCATTTGCAGGAGTGTCAAGCTAGTGTATAGATTTCACTGTTTTCAGAATAGCTCCCTTTAATCTCATTTCATTCCTTAAGCATGACATTCCCTTTCAGAACCTGTGCTGGCTGGAGGAGAAAGAGAAGGAGGTTGTCAGTGCCTTGCGCTACTTTAAGACCATTGTGGACAAAATGGCCATTGATAAGAAGGTCCTGGAGATGCTCCCAGGGTCAGCCAGCAAGGTGCTGGAGGCCATCTTACCCCTGGTGCAGACCGACCCTCGGATCCAGCACAGGTGAGTCCCCTGGAGGCTTAGAGGTACCTTGGTTTGGGGCATTTGAAATAGTAAGGGGAAAGGAGTCTTCCACTTGCTCCCACTTCCTAGCCTTAAGGCTGTTGCTCCTCTAGAGGACAGAATGCTGGCCGACACCACCTCCTAGCAGATGCCTCTGAGCTGTGGTCATATCCTGTGCATTAGCTTGCTAGCGGTGATCATATTGGATTGGACATACTCTCAAATATACTATCATCACTTACCATGACCTTCAGTCCTGTCATTCAAGTCCTCAGCTGCTGGGATTATCATCTGATAAGGCAGGGCATCAAGATGCCCTTGCCCGTACCAGGCCAAGACTCCCACGCAGCCTTTGATTTCTAGGGTTCATTTTCTTTTTACAGGTTAGCTTGCCCCATGTTTATTATTATTAAGTATAACAAAGAAAGCAGTGCTAGATGCAATCTCCAAGCTGGCAGGAACTTCTCTGAAGAGACTGACGGGTCTGGGGTTTTGTCCATAGTACCCATTCATAATCCATGTATCTTTACGTGGATTTCTCAAGGCAGCCTAGTGCCCATTTAACCCCATGAGACTGAGCTTTTATGAATGACTTTGAGAACTTGGCAATGAAGTGCTCTATTTTCTTCTGAGACATATAATAAACTGTATCTTTATTTCCAAGAAATGTTCTGCCTGGGGTTTCCTCCCCAGCTTCTGCTGGCTGACCCCTGGGAATTATGGCTTTTGGCTCCCTATGCTGCTGGTGCTGTTGGGTGCTGCTACTTGTGCTGTAGCTCTCCCCTAGTTCACCCCATGGAAGACTCAGTGATCTCCTTTGACAAAAAGAGCCTGACATTAGGCCATCAGATGTGGAGATAGCTATCTCTAGATGCTATCATTCCTCTGTTCTCACGTAATGTCCCCCATCAGGGAAGAGTTAAAATGGCATTAAAGTTGAGCTCCCCACCATCTAGTCTACCTCATTAAGGCTCTCCCAAATATAAAGGGCTTCTACCTTGTGTGTTGACCTCACAGTGGTAGTGGAGGTGGAGGCTGCTACTATACACAGCATGCACATGAGCACACAATGTATCGCCACATCCACCATGTGATGAAATGCTGATTATGTGGTACACATTGAAGAAGGCAGTGTGAGAACTCAGTGCTCCTGTTCTGCTTCCTAGAGGAGAAGGAAAAGAAAATGCTTGGAAAAAGCAGATAGATTGGCAAGGAGGTAAAAACCAAAAACTCAGAGAACCTGAGGCTAATGTCAGGCCTGCTCCCAGGGCCACCTCTCCTGCCAGACAGGCTGCAGAACTGGGTGGCTCTTTCCAGAGGCAAGCTCCCACCCCCTACCCCCACCTCTCCTTGGGCACCCTTGACCACATCCCCAAGCTTCTTGGCCAGCTTATCTCATTCTCAGGGACTGGAGGGAGTTGTTTTTCTTCTTACAGAGTGTTCTGTTGGTGCATGCAGAGTGTAGCCATGCTGGCTGAAAGCTTAGCCCCTCCTGGTGCTGCTGCACTTGATAGGGCGTCATTGATACAGTGCTTAGAGACCTTTGCTGTCATGTTAAGTTAGTCATGTCTTACAGTACTACATTGTTTTCTCTAAGTGTCTGCTCTAATAATGAGGGAGTGGTTATTTTTGCTCTTCTGTTACAATGCACAAAATTTGGAATGAAAACAGTAACCCTTTCTAGAATTCCCTAAGAAGACTCATCTTTACGACCTGGGCATGGTGGCACATATCATTGATCCCAGCTCTCAGAAGGCAGAGGCAATTGGATTTCTGTAAGGCCAGTCAGGTCTACACAATAATTTCTAGACATAGTGAGACCCTGTCTTAAAAACGTTAATTAATTAAAAAAAAGAAAAAAAAAGTATGTAGAAGCTGTAAGAATTGTGGGTTTGGTCTGCTAGTCTACCTCATTAAGGCTCTCCCAAATATAAAGGGCTTCTACCTTGTATGTTGACCTCACAGTGGTAGTGGACGTGGAGGCTGCTGCTATACACAGCATGCACATGAGCACACAATGTATCACCACAGTCAGGCCATTCTAACGCAGTCCTTGAAATCATCTCCACCCAGCCACAGTGGCATTGCTAAGGATGATGAAACTGAGCAAAGATAAGAAGGCTCTATTAAACCACAGCCAGATCTGAAAATGCATGGCTGTCTTGATCCTACCATCAAAATTCCTCAAACCTATTGACTCTGTGATCCATCAAAATGATTGTCAAACTCACAAAGCTCTGACCCAGTCCAGTGGTTTGCAACTGAAAGGAGGAAACAGATGATCTCAGAATGTTGTAGAGGGATATGAAGTTTGAAGAAGCTACTGTGATGGAATTTTTATGATATATTTGAGAAATTATATATATACATACATAATGATGTATGTATTATATATATATACATACATACATATGATGTATGTATGATAGGGACTGGTAAGATGCTTCAGTGGGTAAGAGAACCTCCCGTGCAGTCATGAGGGCCTGAGTTCAGAGTCCAGTATCTACACAAAATCCAGTGACAAGAGGAACACTGGGACTTCCTGGCCACCAGCCTACCTCCAGTTTCACTTAGAAACTGTCCCAAAGAAATAAGGAAAAGTGTGACAGAACAGTACACCGGGAGCCTCCTGACTACACACACACACAGTCTTACTTCTTACACACATGCTTATATACCACACACACTTAAAAAAAAAAAAAAGGCATTGTAACAGCTTAGAATATAAACTTCCATAAAACCTCCTTTGAATATGAGAAGAAAGGAAAGAAAAGATTTGTCTGTAAAAGGAGTCATAGAGGGAAAAGAGCCCCATAGGTAAAGGCTCTTATCCAAGCCTGACAACCTGAGTTTGCTCTTCAGGATTTACGTGGTAAAAAGAAAAGAACCCACTCTTTCAGGTTGTCTTCTGACCTACACACACACACACACACAAAATATAATGAAATGAAAATGAAATTTTAAAAAGACAGATAAGCTGGGGCACCGTAGCCCTTGACTATAATCTCAGCACCAGGAGGCTGAGGCAGAAAAATTAAGACGTCAAATCAAGGCTACTCTTGCCTACAGAGCAACCCTGTCTCACAAAAAAGAACAAACAAAACGCATGGATTTTATAAAAAGAAATGTTCCCTGACCACTAAGATGCTTGCTCTGCCTGAGTGCTCTGTGGCTATTAGGGTCATGATACAGACTTTCTAACAATCTTAAACCTCTCCTCCCTGTAGTTCAGCCCTTTCCTCCTGCTATAGCCGAGTGTACCAGAGCCTTGCCAACCTCATCCGATGGTCTGACCAGGTGATGCTAGAAGGTGTGAACTCGGAAGATAAAGAAATGGTGACGACCGTGAAGGGGGTCATCAAAGCTGTGCTGGATGGAGTGAAGGTAATGAATGAGCAGGTTCGAGGCTGCCAACCTTCTGGAAGCTAACACTGCATTTTAGACTAAACAGTCGGGTGAATATTTTTAAAACATGTGGTATAGGCTAGTTCTGGCCATTAACTACTTCATTCTTAGGCACCATCAGCCCTTTCTGCATCTGATATTCAGTCCTCTCTGGGCTATATGCCCACGTGTGGCAGAGAACGTGCAGTAGCTTGATGCAATGGAAATTGTTTGTACTGGCCTGTAGCAAAACCTCCAGTATATCAACCATTACCTTCATGTCATAGGAACATCTAGGATTCGGGTAGAAAAGCAGGGCTGAATAGTTGAAACTGAATTTACTTGCTCTCTCTGGTATGATCAATATGATTACTATCCAGCCATTGCAGATAGCCTCATAGGAGATTAAGAGGCACAGTTGGAATACAAAGCAAAGACTATACAGCATCTAGAATTGGGGCCCAGAAGCCAAACTAACTAATAATATAAATCCTAGTAGGTGATGAGTGGAGGACACAAGATGGCAAGGGCTTTGCTGTGCAGGAGGAGCTGTTTTAAGAGGCTTTATTAGGCAGTGAAAAGAGGCCAGCCTAGGATATGGCCTGCTTTGAATCCCTAGTCTGTGAGCTTGGGCAGTTTACTGCCTTAGTTCATCTTGATGGTCCCCTTGAAAATACCCATAAGCAAGTGTAGTAGGACAATATTATTTCTCCCATCCCTTAGCTCCTGAAATAATGACTCATGAAATTCATTAAATATTATACAAATACATAGACCACATAGCTAGGCTCTTCTCTGGCTAGTTCATAACTTAAAGTAGCCCATTATCATTATACTAATCTACATCCTAACACGTCCTGGTTGGTTACCTGAGCTCAGGCACCATGCACCCATCTTCCTCATATCTTGCCTGCTGAATCCCACACACCTGCTTCTAGCCCAGAATCTCTTCTGCCTGCTAGATGTCCCACCTCCTATTTCCTGCCTAAGTTTTAGGCCATCAGATTTATTATTGACAGCTGAAGTTTCCATACAGGCACAAGCTATTCTGTCAACAAGCAGGTGTAACAGCAGTGCCCTGTATCATAGCACTGAAGGATTAGATTAGTCAATTCAGGATGCTTTAGAACAATGCCTGGAATACACAAAGCCCATAGGCATACATGGATGTTCATTATATTATTTATGTGGAGCTAAATTCGTGCTTTATAGATGTGGCTTAGAAAAGCTGTGTCCCTTTTTTTCTTTTCTTTTCTTTTTTCCCCAAGACAGGGTTTCTCTGTATAGCCCTAGCTGTCCTGGACTCACTTAGTAGACTAGGCTGGCCTTGAACTCACAGGGATCCTCTTGCCTCTGCCTCCCAGGTGCTGCGATTACAGGTGTGTACCACTACGCCCGACCTAGCTGCGTCCCTTTTATAGACCCTCATCCAAAATTATAACCACATTATGTAGCCTAAGTCAGAAGGCTTCTCTAACTCAGCCAGACTATTAGGTTCCTGAAACATGCCTCTTAGCGTGGTGTTCTTTAGAAAACAAATACCCCAAAGGGTTTAAGTTACAGAGAGAAGGCCAAGGAGGCAGTGCTTGATGGGGAAATTATTCTCCAATGGGCTGCAGCTAAAACCCCAGCACCTCTAGAGGCTGCTGTGTCAGCAGGGGACTTTGGGTTCACTTTGGGGGAGGAGATGCAACAAGCTGGCATTGAGCGTCTCCTCTGAGTGCCTCCATGCTCTCTTATCACAGAGCCGCCAGACTTCGTATCAGCAGTTTTAACCGAAGAGGCTTGTGGGTGTTGACCCTAGTCATTGTAGAATCTGGGCAACAGTCAGTGTATTTCTCAGCTCTGACTGAGGTTTCTTTCAGTCAGTCATTGGGTGGCATAAGGCATGATCCTCCCCTGCTTTCTGGCCGAGCTCTGGGTCACACGCCCTTGCCGCTGTTTCTTGTCCTGACCTCTGAAAATCAAAATTATTTTCCAGGTGACACTGTTTAGGTTTTCTTCCATCAAACTGATTTTGATGGAATGTCATAGCAGCTAAACAGCTGAAACAGAGGTCAGGTTTCCCCAGGAGCTTCAGGACACTCCAGAGTAGAGGCTCTGCATAGAGTTATGAAAGCACAGCTGTACTACTTGGAAGAAGGAATGTTTGAATAAAAAAATTGCTGATTTCTCAATGTGACCCTAGGGGATGGGAGTGGACATGTACAGCTTATGGAACTTGAACTTGCCAGTGCCTGAGAGCAAGTAACTTTTTCACAGTTTTTTTTAAAAGTAGTTTAGCCAAAACAGGGTTAAGGGAAGGCAAGCAGTGTGGAACACAAAGCCAGAAGAATCTGCCAGAAGCTCTCAGCCAGCAAGACCTGAATACACAGCTTGGACTGAAATAACAAGAGAGAACAGACTCTGAAAAGTTGTCCTATTTCCTTCACACACATGACCATGCAGGCGAGCATGCATACACAGGTGTAGATACATGCAGAAGCACACAAACACTCATACAGATACTTTAGCCAGAACAAAGAGCCAGTAAGTAAGGAGCTCTATGATTGTTTTTGTTTATTATTAAACAAACCTCCTGTGTGTTGGGGTGTGACAGGATTTCACACACAGTGATGAGTGACAGAGGCCCTGGCCTTGGGGAGCTTATAGTTCACTGACAAACAAAAGTCTACAGTTACATAAATGATACCGTATGACACAGCAGTATTCAGGCTAATGCAGTGTCAAGGAGGTCAGAGAAACGTCCCTAAAGAGAGTCCGGTCGGCCAGCACGTGCTACCAGAAGCTGCTCCTAGAAGGTGTCGGGCAGCATGGGCATTTGTGATTAGTATCTTATAGTAATAACATTGAACAATTCATAGTTACTTTTTTACACTGTCCAACTTTATACCTGTAACAGCCCTCTAAAGTAGGCACCTTCCCTGGTGGGTCAGCCGAGGTTCAGGCAAATCTGTGATCGTTGGCAAGCTCATTACTCTCACTGAGGCCTGCAGGGCCTAGACACTGAGTCACCCTTCACTGCCCTTCAAGGAGATTCAACCTAAAGGGGCCTTCTCATTCACAGTCCTCACAAGGACACCCGCTGTCCTGGTGTGTGAGGAAGCCTCCCTCAACTGGGAGGGCCAGGAGTAAGCAGGCACAAATGCTTTAGCTGGCTGTCTTCATCCCACTGGAGGAGAAACGCTGCATTCCTACGAAATGACTCACCACCCCTAAGGAGCTCATTCAGTTGTTAAGTGGAATTTGGGAGGGGGGGTGCAGGGAGAAGATTGAAAACTTGTCTGAAAGGCAGATTATTTTGCTATGTTCTGACATGAATACTGTCATTTGCCATGCAAATCGTTACTTAAATGCCACTTGTTAACTATGTAACTTTGGACAAGTGGCTCCTCTGGGAGTCCTTTGGGTTTTAAATACCCTGATTGGGTGAGGAGAGAGAAAACTGTTTGTGAAATGCCTAGCCAGTGTTGGGCCAGCAGTCAGGGGTGAGCACTGTTCGCTGGAAACTTCCACCAGGATAAATTACATTTACTAGTCTTGGATGGGATTTGTGGCTTCCCAGAGGGAAGCTCACACGTTTCAGATCTCCAGGACTGGGCCAGTTAAATGCCCACTTCTCTTCCAATCTCAGACCTGACACCTTTGCCCTTGAAGACGTCAGGACCTCCCTGCAGGTCCCTGTGTCCCCAACCTCCAGCCACTATAGACTAAAATTTTATAATTTAAAATAATAACAAGGGCTAGAGGGATGGTTCAGTGGCTAAGAGTACTCCCTGCTCTTCTGGAGGACCCAAGTTCTGTTTGTAAGCATCATATTAGGCGGCTCACCCATAACTCCAGCTCAAGTGGACCTTACAACCTTTTCTTAACCCTTCAAGGCTTTCCACTGAAAGCCTTGGGAAAATCTTGTGGAGACCCACAGTTTTATCACTTGACTGTCACCTCCCAGAACTGGACTTACATAGCAGACTCAGTGATGTTTTTAACTATAGCAGCTAGGCCAGAAAACTCAAACAAGCAGAAGTTTTAAAGAGAACTTTTGCATAGTTTAGCAACTAAGAGTGCTCGCCGCCAAACCTGACCTGATCTGACCCTCAGAACCCACATGGTGGAAAGAGAGACTTGGCTCTCTTGAGCTGTCCTCTGACTTCCACGTGAAAACTATGCACGTGTGCATGTAGAATTCACACTGTGGAAAGAGAAGACTAACGCCCTCAGACTGACCTCTGACCTCCACATGAAAACTGTGGCACTTGCATGCACACGAACACAATCAACCTATCAATTAATGCAAAAATTTTTAGACACACAGCTTTTGGAGGGGTTAGGAGATGTCACAGTCATAAAGTGTTTGCAACATGGGCATGTGGACCTGAGTTTGTAATACCGTGGCTATCCCAAATACTCATGAGAGATAGATAAATAAATATATTTATCTAAGTACCCATGTTTCTAACACTAAGGGAGGCAGAGACAGATGACTCTGGTTGTTTGCTGATGAGATCGTCTAGCCCTGTAGGCAAGTTCCCAGTTCAAGAGGAGACCCTACCTCAAAAAGTAAAGTGGGGCACAGTTAACCTCTAACCTCCACACCTGTCACAAAAGTAGAATGTTCTATTTCATAATAAAAGTTTAGATATAGATTTCCTCAGGGTGGTCAGGGGTGCTCCTAACTCGCTTTCCTGCTGGCATTGACACACACAGATTCTAAAGTGAGTCAGAGTAACTGCTTTCTCTCCAGCTAGCATGGCTGCCCTTCAGACAAGAAAGGCAGCCTTTTCCTTTTAAGGAGGCTTCTTGGAGCGCCTCACAGAATTTCTCTTACATTTTCTTGGCCAGAGTTGCATCAGGTCCCACCCATGTCCCCTCAGGTGCCGCAGGTGGGTGCTGGGAATTAAACCTGCATCCTTTACAAGAGCAGCCAATGCTCTCAACCACTGAGCCATCTCTCCATCATTTTGTTCATTTAAAAGTTTAAAATTTTATTTTAGAGTTATTGCTCCTGAGAGTTGGCAGTGTAGAGGTACCCTCGTGGTACTCCTCATTGTCCCTTCACCCCTTGGATTCCTGGGAAAGCTGGAGGCCAGAGCCCTCTCAGCTTGGTGGGAAAGGACACTTCCTAAATAGCACTGTGCTTCCTAGAAAGGTGCATGCACCCTTGATGATGGCAGTAATTGTTGGTTGTGACTGCTGTGCCCCAGAATTTTCAGACTACAACATGTAAGGTGATTTCTCCTGCCAGTTTTCCATCAATAGCCAGAATGAATCTGAAAGGGAAAACTCCCCCTGTAGTTGTTATGCAAAGCTTGTTGCCTTCTTCATATGCACAGCTTTCAAAATTAGAAATGCTTTCTGGTGTCCTCTGCCCTTGTGTTACTAGTTTTAAAACATTATGCAGCTCAGGCAGGGTTGTTGTGGTGCACACCTGTAATCCCAGCATAGGAGCATAGGGAGACAGAGACAGGCGGATCTCTGTCTGCAGAGTAAGTTCCAGGACAGCCAGGGCTGATAGGAGAAACCCTGTCTCTAAAAACAAAGCAAAACAGAGCAAAGAAAAAAAGAAAGAAAGTTATGTGGCTTTCTAAGATGGCACTGCTTCCCAGCCATCCCTGTTACAGTGTGGCCCCTGAATTCCCTTTTAGGCCTGTATGAGGAATGCCAATTGCTTGTCAAGCAGTGATTACCATCTCCATCTGTGCCTTGTGTGTCAAGCTCTGTGCTGCTTGGCTGTGTGTGCATCTGGGAACACTTCCTCCGCCTGTTGGCTTCTCACTGCCACCTTTGATGTGGGCAGAGAAAGGCCCTTGTTGTCTCCATTATAAGTCACCCTAGAGGCTGGCTGCGGTAACACACTCCTTCAATCCCAGCACTTAGGTTGCAAGGCAGGAGAAACTCTTGAGTTTGAGGCCAGCCTGGTCTACATAGAAAGATCTAGGACATCCAGGAGTACATAGAGAGAGACCTTGTCTCAAAAACACAAAGTCAGCCGAGGGCTGGACACTCCTGTGATCATGTCCTGTAGCTTCTGTCACAGGAATGTAGATATTGATAGAAGAGTCCAGAGCTGCCTTTTTTTTTTTTTTTTAAGACTTATTTATTTATTTATTATTTATGCAGCGTTCTGCCTGCATATATGCATTCACACCAGAAGAGGGACCTAGATCTCATTATAGATGGTTGTGAGCCACCATGTGGTTGCTAGGAATTGAACTCAGGGACTTTGGAAGAATAGACAATACTCTTAACAGTTGAGCCATCTCTCCAGCCTGCCAGAGCTACCTTTTCTAGCTTGTCTTTTAACACAGGACTCTAACAATTAAAAAGACCTCTCTGTCTTGGAGAAATTCTGCATTCCAGAGATTTGACTTTTCACAAGTTGTTGAGCCCTAGCCAAGTCACAGGTGGTAAGCACTCAATGAGACCTGAGTATTGGAAATACCTAGATGGAAGAGATTTCCAGAGCATTCTGTGTGTGATACTTAGGCAAGTTAAGACCAAAGCCCTTCTGTTTGGGCAGGAAGGTTGGAAGAGAAAGAAAAGCTGCCGGCTCCTTTCCCGGCCTCCACTGTGTCATGATGTGGTTTTGGAATTTCTGGGCACGCTTGCATGTGTATGCCTGTCATCCAGGATCCTTTAGATATCCATTGCTCTTAGTTGAGGCCACAGCTGCCATTCCAGGAGGTCATTTCACCCTGCCTGCTCCCACATGGGGAGGAACTGCAATTTGTCTGTCAGCAGATAAAAATGTGCAGATTTCTCTGCTTTCTTTTGTCCTGCTTGCCAGAGTGAGTTTGGCTTATCATGACGGCACATGTCTGCATTCCCAGCACTCATGAGGCTGAGGCAGGATTGAGAGTTCAAGACCAGCCCAGGCTACATGAATATGAACCTAAATGTAGGGTTCCAAGTGGCTTGGGTCTGATGCTTTGATCCCAGCCAAGGGGCTTTCAAGGCTATGAGCTGCCTTTGCCATACCCCCGTGTTCCTCCAGGCAGTGGGTAAGGAAACAGCCTCCCTCTATCTGTTTTCTCTTTTCATCCCTCTATCATTTTGAGTTCTGAATTATGGTAACAAGTAAAGTCTCCTTCCTAGGCTAGATTGGGATGAGCCTGGATCTGGTTCCATGGACATACCTCTCATGGTTTGGGAGAGAGTTTTCTCAGAATTAATTTATATTCATTTTAGAAAATTTAGAAGATACAATAAAAATAACTTAAATTTTAAAAAAGAAGGGTTTTTGATCTTGTTTCCAAAATTTACAATGTACCCACCCCAACCAAGCAGATAGGGATCTTTGCACCCAGTATTCCACCATCTTTCCATGCTGTGACCTTTGTTCCTGCTGTGGCTTTATTCTTATTGACTATAGAGTATCCCCTTGAGGGGCTCTATCATATCTGCATACTTGGTGCTTGTAGTGAGTGTTTTAACTGTGGACCATTGAACAGTCGACCATTGAACAGTCTCCTTTTACTGTGGTGACATCCTACATAGCTGAGCTTTTGCATATATCCATGGCATTTTCGTCAGACAGAATTTTCCTAGTAGATATTTGAGGCTTTTGATACATGCCAGTAGGTCATCCATTGGACCATTGTCTGCTGCCCATACAATACCCAGAGTGATGGATGCCCCATTCTCACTGACACCATCCTGCCCCACGCCACCCTGTGTCTGAAAGTTTTGTTTTGTTGCCATCAAACTTGAGACAATCTTGTGACATCCTTCCCATTTGTGAAATTCCTCTTTAAATTTTCTTTTTGTATGTTCAGCTTTTTTCCTAGTTCTTGTGTTGTTGAAAGAAAGAATCTGCTTTGGGAGATGCTAGATCTTAGCCTCTGAACAGGGAGACATGGCTAGGTTACCCACCTCTGCATCCTCAGAGGTAATGTGGGCTCTTCCCTCATGCCCACAGGCCAAAGCCATCAGCAGAGAGCAGTGAGGAGAGTGTGTGTAGCAGTATACAAATACACTGCTCAGCAGTGAAAAAGAACCAACCTGGACTCCCCAAAATGTGGATGCTTGTGGATGGCTGAGGCAGGTACAGGATAGCAAGAACAGAGCAGCTGTCATCAGGGGTAGTGGGAAAGTGAGGGACTGCAGGTGCAAAATTTCTGCCCTGAGGTTGATTGTGTTAAGGATTGCACATGGGCTCACATGCTTAGAGTAGATGAATTTCATGATACATGAATTCTGTCTCCACAACGATTTTGAAAAATGAAGCTGGGTTGATGGCTCATCCTGTAAAGCACTTCCCACACAGTCATGTTCAGAGTTCAGTCCCCAGCATGCACAGAAAGGGCCAAGTGTGGTGGCTACAGTTGTAATTCCAGCACCAGGGAGTCAAGAGACAGAGGGATCCCTAGCGCTCACTGGCCAGCTAGTCTCACCTACTCAGTAATCTTTAGATGCTAGATTGTGTCCAAGAAACAAGGTGATGGCTGCTGAGAAACACCCTCAGCTAACATCTGATCTCCACTGCACATGTGAGCATACAGCCATAGGTATGTCACACACACACACACACACACTCTCACACAAACATAACTGTGACCAAAAGAGGCAATGTGGACACAAATATATATATATATATATATATATATATATATATATATATATATATATACCACTTTAATTTCTGTGGAGTCCATGGGACAGCCAGAGTAACGTAAGGCACTGAGAGTGTGCACACCACACTCCCATTTGTGCCCATCCTGGGAGACCACAGTGATCTGGAGCAGAGAGTGAAGAGTGCTGGGACAGCTTATGGGAAGCGTTCTTCACAGAGTGGAGCACAGCACACACCTGGTAAATACCATTAGAGTTGCTTGGCATGGCAGTGCATACCTTTAATCTCAGTACTTCTACAAAGAGAGACACTGTCTAAAAAAAGGAAAAGTCATGGACCTGGGTAACTGTGTCCCAGCTGAGAAACTATACCCCTGATCTGCTCTCCTTTCTGCTATTTCAAAGTACCATTTTTTATTTTCTTTCAACTCCTCTCTCTGCTGAGTCGAGTGAACCTTGCCCATTGATAAGGTTCCCAGCCAGTCCACTGGGGCTCCAATTCCTGCCTCAACTAAGGCAGTGCACTTTGGGAAAACACTAAAAGCCAGAAACCAGATGGCTGAGTGCACCATTGTATATAACATGACAGCTTTAGGCAACCAAAAAACATCTTCTGCCCCCTCCCCAGACTGCACAGGAACGTAAGTGTGCAATGGTCTATTCATCTAGAGACCTGGACTTTCCATTTCCCCTTTCAAGAGGAAGTGCATGATGCAGTTGAAACTTTTCTATTTTTAGAGGGAAAGTGGAATGTTAGGAACTGTGTAGATTACTCTTTGTGGGAAATAGATGGACACAAGAGTGGGGCTGAAGCCCCGCCTCTTTGTGCAGAGGTGTAATCCCTTCCTCCCTGTTTCTCCCTTTCTCTCCCGTGGAGCATAGGAGCTAGTAAGGCTAACCATTGAGAAGCAGGGGCGGCCATCACCAACAAGCCCAGTGAAGCCCAGTTCCCCAGCCAGCAAGCCTGATGGGTAAGTCTGGGCACATTCCTGAGGTCCCAGTGGGACCAAGCACACACTTTGGGACTGAGCCCGCACCTGACAAAGGTTGGGAGCCAGGCAGGCAGTGAGAGTATTGGAGAGGTTGTGGGCAGCCCTGGTTCCCTTTCCAGTGATGAGTTCTGGTGAGTGCCTGGTGCTTTAACGTGTGTATTCCACATAAGTTTCAAAGTGTTGGCTCACACTCCACAAGTTCAGCTGGGCAAGAATGTACAAAAAGAAATGGCCACCTGTTTTCAACCCTCTGGCACCTGTCATAAACAGCTTTACTGCACCATGAACTCCCAAGGGCAAGCTGGGGGGTTGTGGGAGATCTTGGATTTTTTAATAGGAGCTCAAGTCAGTAGGATGTTGATACATGAACAAACTCCAAGGCCAGCAGTGTTCTCTCAGTAAGCTGAGGGAGAGCTTTGTGGACAGCCTAACTTTTTTGCATCAATTTCAACTACTGGCATGTTAAACATGCAACACATTATTTTAGAGCAGCCTGGTAGCTCCGTGGGAATGCCAGGACTTGCATGGAGCTAGCTCCTTCTCAGCCCCAGCATTCCTGTAGCCCTCCCCCTCATTCCCAATGGCTCTATGCACTCTGTGTGTGATCCCTAGTTCTTTCCATTCCTCCAGCCAGTCTGAGCTCCCTCTGACAGATCGAGAGATGGAGATTCTGAACAAGACGACAAGCGTGTCACCATCCTCTGAACTGCTCCCAGACTCCACTAGTGAAGAAGTCGCACCCCCCAAACCCCCTTTACCTGGAATTCGGGTGGTTGATAACAGGTAGTTCTAAACTCTTCTTGAGGGAATTTTTTTCTTAGTACCTCCCCTGTTTGTGGCCTAATATGGGGAGTAGATGGTAGAATGAGCAAAAAGGATAATGCTTCAGGTAAGACCTACAATGTTGGTCCCTTAAATGCTCTGCTGGCTTGGCACTGTTAAGAGTGTCTCGACAGACCTGTTGGAGCACGCCTGTAATCCCAGCACTCTGTGAGTTCGAGGCCAGCCTGGTCTACAAAGTGAGTGCAGGACAGCCAAGACCACACAGGGAAACTCTGTCTCAAAAAAAGAAACAAACAAACAAACAAACAAACAAAGAAAAAGAATATCTTGGGCCCTGGACCCTTGCACAGGCTCTGTGCTCAGACGGCCTAAGGTCTCTATCCAGTGAAACGGGCATGTTTTACTATGGAAGGAAAAAGAGTCTTTTTGGTTCTAGTCTTTTGGCATTGATAGAGTGATTAGCAAGAGAACAGGAGGTCGTTAAAATGTGGAAAAAAGAGTTTCATTCATGTCCTGTTCCCTAAAACCATTCTAAAACACTCTTGTTTGTGATGTACAGTTTGCCTGGCTTTTCTGTGTCTTCTAGTCCACCAGCATTGCCACCCAAGAAAAGGCAGTCAGCTCCATCCCCTACCCGGGTGGCTGTGGTAGCCCCTATGAGTCGAGCCACCAGCGGCTCCAGTTTGCCTGTTGGAATCAATAGGCAGGTAATGCACTTCTGTTTTCTTTTGGGGAGGGTGACTGGAATTGGGGTTTGGGCATTGAGTCCTAAAGCTAAAAGTCACCTGTTAGTCTTTAGACCCACTATCAGATACAATCAGAGGCTTGTGGGAGGGCAATCTATAACTGCCATTCCTCACCCCCCATGACATGGGCATCTCTCAAGGGCACTCCCACACTCCTCCCAGTTCCTTTCCTGTGTCATCTTGATTCTACAGTGACATCGGAGGTGGCTTCTGAGCTAGGCAGGGTTTTCTGAGCATTTCAGTTGCCTGTCCCTGGTCTCTGCTGCCTTTCGCAAGGCTTACTGAAGTTCCTTTCCATTCTTCCCAAGGACTTTGATGTTGACTGTTACACCCAGAGGCGCCTGTCCGGAGGCAGTCGCTCTTGTGGCGGGGAGTCTCCTCGCCTGTCCCCCTGCAGCAGCACCGGCAAGCTCAGCCGGTCAGACGAGCAGCTGTCCTCCCTAGACAGGGATAGCGGGCAGTGCTCCAGGAACACAAGCTGTGAAACACTAGGTAAGCCAACACAGCCCTCCTCCTTCCTCCAAAGCTCCCTGGGATCCTTGATTCTGGCCTTGAATCAGCTGGTTTCCAGGCATTAGCTAGATGACCTTAGTCAAAGCCTTTAAAATGCAAGCCTCAGTTTCCTCATCTGTAAAATGAAGATGATGAGCCAGGCACAGTGGTGCATGCCTTTAATCCCAACACTCAGGGAGGCAGAGGCAGGTGGATCTCTGTTAGTTCGAGGCCAGCCTGGTCTACAAAGTGAGTCCAGGACAGTCAAGGCTGCACAGAGAAACCCTGCTCTGGAAGGATCTGAAAGTGAATATGAAATAACAGTTTGAAGTCATGCAGCAGATGCTCAGGCAGTCAGCCTCCTTACAGGTAGCCTGGCAGCCTACTCAGTCCATGTGCAGTAGGGCTCTCTACAGGGGAGGTTGCTCCTGAAGGTGTTAACAGAGCTTGAAAGCATCAAGCAGCCTCCCTACCCTTGTAAGATACCACTGACCAGAGTTGGAAGGACCATTTGGCAGGAGCACGCCAGCATCAACCTGTTTGTGTTCTAGGAACTAGATCCTTTTCCCTTCTGAGAAGGTGTCCTAAGCACAAAGGAGAGATTGCTGGCAAGGCCTTTGTCTGAGGAGGCTGGCCTGCAGAGAATTAGCTGGTGACAATCTAGAGACACTGGTAGGAGTCAGTAGTGGGAATCAGATGAATGAGAGGACATATGGGATAGCCTGAGACCAAGAACATGCTGCTTTCTTAGGTACTGGGAAAAAGGATGGGAAGAGAGTGCACGTGCTTTTAAGCCCTGCACTTGAGAGGCAGAGGCTGAAGGATTTTTATGAGTTTCAGGCCAGCCAGAGCTACATAGTGAGACCGTGTCTTAAAGACAAACAAAAAAAAGGGGGGGGGGGACAGGGAGAATTAAAGAACTTTCAAGAAAATGCATCAAAATATAAACTCTGATGGCCAGCTCTGAGTTCTTATTTTTTATGATGTGTCATTTTTCTTCAGTAGTCATGTATCTTTTTTAAGTACTCAAGTTGTAGAATGTAGGAAAATGCTGGGGATATAGCTTGTTGGTAGAATACATGCTCAAAGCTCTGGGTTTCATCCCCAGAAGCACAAAAATAAAAATAAGAGCTATATTGTGTGTCTGTGTGGGTGGGTGTGTCTCTGTGTTTGTGTGTGTGCACGCTTCTGTGTGTATATCTGGGGGTGTCTGTGTCTGTGTATATCCAAGTACAAAGACACAGAGACCAGTATAGCAAAGAGCCATCTCACCACCTCTTTAACATCTGCATCCATGACAGATAAAGGCTATCCAATTAAATAGAAGGCCACAGGGGAGATCAGACATTCACCATGTCCTCTTTGAGGGGACAGGGCAGAGCAGGCAGGGGATGGCTTCAGAGGCTTGCAGCTAATGGGTGTTTTCTGTGTGATTTTCAGATCACTATGACCCTGACTACGAATTCCTCCAACAAGACCTCTCCAACGCAGACCAGACCCTACCACAGGCGGCCTGCAGCCTCAGCCCACTGCCAGAGTCCCTGGGGGAGTCTGGGCCATTGCTTGGCCGTCTTTTCCAGCTGCCTCAGGGCAACTGTCCCCAGCAGGAGGGGCAGCAAACAGACACTCCACCTGCCCTTCCTGAGAAGAAGCGCAGGAGTGCAGCCTCCCAGACCACAGACAGCTCTGGCTGCAGGGTGTCCTATGAGCGACACCCCTCACAGTATGACAACATCTCAGAAGATGACCTGCAGAACCCGGTCCAGCCCATGTCCTACACACCCTTTGCTGCTATCCTCCCCTTTCAGCAGGGAGCTTCCTCAGCCCCTGTTGAGTTTGTGGGTGATTTCAATGCTCCTGAGTCAGTGGGTGACCCAGAGAAGCCACCTCCTCTACCAGAGAAGAAAAACAAACACAGTAAGTTCTCCGTGCTCTCTGTAAGCACAGTATATAACCCTTAACAGTTCTGTGTTCTGCTTAACCCAAGCATGAGACCAAACCCAAGCCCGTGGCCTTATTCTTTCATGTAGGATAGGCTCATGGGTACACAAGTGGGTACTGTGTGTAGGGGCCTGACTATCATTATTGATTGTCCTTGAAAGTCTAATTGGCTCATCTCTCCTTTTCCGTCTTTGAAATCACAGGCCTGATGCTCCCAGGTGTCTCTTCTCTTCAGATGCAATCCATTGACCCTTGTGGCCTGAGCACAGTGACAAAGGCAGCTGAGTGTAGTGACACACACACCTGAAGATAAAGTTGCAAAGGGATCTGAGTGTCCTGGCACACAGCAGCTGTGATGTCACATAAAATGGACATGTGTGTATAACCAAAACTGTCAAGCCCTCAGAGGGATGTCCTACGGGTGAACAGGGTGTTCACAATGACCCAGATCAGAGCTTGCTGGCTGGAGGGCTGAGGCCAGCTCTTCGACTAGATGTTTTAATAGATAGATCTTATTAGGCTGGGTGAATCTGGAAGGTGGAGTGTTTGTATTTTACATAGTTTCCAACTGTAAGTTTGCCATAGCATTACTAAGTAACATTCTGGACATTCCATCTTTTCTCCTCCCTCCCCAACTGCTCCACATAAGAAACTTGCAGGCCACACTGCCCCACCCTCCCCCTCGCCTCACCAGCACTGTTCTCAGATTTTCCCCTACAGAACAGATGTCACCATTTTGATGTGTGTGGCCACATCAGCTACACAGCCCAACAGTCCCCTTAACCTTCGTACAAATCCAGCAAGAACACCTAAAACTAGATATTGCACTTTTAACTCCTTATAGAGGGCTTCCCACTCCCAAAGGAAGGTCTGCCTCATTAAATCCAGTAGAGCCATCCCAGGACAAGAGGGGCCTAGTTTGAAACCACACTTCCCACACCCAAGCTGTCTCACAGCTTTGGGATGGCCTTTGTAGGATGGTCCCCAGCTAGAGAGGGCTGTCTGGCAAACTAATGATGTCATTCCATGTGTTCTGGAAGTGGCTTATTGCAGACCAAGCTCTGCTGAGAGAACACACAGCAGTTGGGAACAGATCTTTCTGGTCCGCTCCTTCCACCCACCTTGCCAGAACACTGTTTCCATTGGGAGCACACTCTTTCTCATCAAAGGAGTCCCATGGACTAGGGTGTGGAATAGGACTATATTAAACTGTACCAGATGGATGGTGCTGCCAGCCAGGAAGCCTCCTGCTTGCGGCTCTTAGAACAGGTGTGAGCAGAGGTCCAAGTCTCAAGTGGCTGAAATGGTTTCTTGTGGGATGAATAGCGACTGAAGCTCTGTCCTGCATATTCCTTAGTTCATTGTTGCTGAGCAAATGCTTATGTAGTTAGTTTTCCAGGCCAGGTCTCGGGGCTGCAGAAACTGGCTTCAGAGCAAAAAACAAGAGGCAGTATGGGGTTCAAGCCTGGCTGGGCCTGAGTACACCCAAGCCCAGAGGGAAGGGCTTTGCCCTCCGTCCTAAAGACCTGCTGTGTTTTCAGCAGAGGTCTCCTCCCCCACTACCACCCCATGCAGGGGTTATTTTTCTGTGTTCAGTGAAAGAGCCCCAAACTTGAAGCACCCTAAGCTCAGTCCTGGTCCAGAGTCTGACCTTCATTCCCTGAGGGGACCATTGGAGAGTCCCACCTGTGAGTGTGGGGTAAGCCTAACAGAACTACTTTGGAGGAAAAAAAAATGAATAACCATCATCCCCTTTATTTGGCACCTCTAAAGCAAACTCATACATGGGCAGTTCTCATGTCATAATATGTCTTCACTGAGAGGGGTGCCTTGGTATCATGATGGACTTGGCTCTCATTGTTAAGAGTAGCACAAGGGAGTACCTGAGTTCTGTGGTGTACTGATGTTCCCAGGTCTGAAGAAGTGCCTGCAGCCAAACATTTCCTGCCTTGCTGGCTGCTCTGGCATCTGAGGCACTGCCCAATATGGAAAGGGACTTGTAGCCTAGTCCTGGGAGGGTAAACTGCACTGCTGTTCTTCTCTGTGTAGCCGGCAGGTCTCTGCCAGGACCTCAACAGCAAGAGTTCCTAAAGGTCTGGGGAGATGAGCTTGATGGCACATTGAGTAGAGGGGGTTGCCTGGCCCTTCTGAAAAACCAGTGGTGGGGCTGGGGTCGCCCCTGGGCTGTGACTAAGCAGGGATACAGCAGCATCACTGTGGGGCTTCCATGTTCAGCCATGGGGAGCCCAGCCATGTTCTGTCGGTGCACAGCAGAGCCAACAAGCTCTTCTGTATTCTGTGAAATAAACATGGCAGCCTTTCAGCAAAAACACCAGGAGGACCTGCCAAGAGAACACCTTTGCTAGTACCCCAGGCCCTATATTTGGTGCCAGGGAGAAGTACACTCCTGCCTCAGGCAGCGTTCCTCTGCCTTCTGGCAAGTGGGCCCCCAACCCTGGTTATCAGAAAAATGTTCACACTGCAGAGCATATGCTCCTGGCACTTGGGGTGTGACTAAGAAGAAAGTATCTGCCTGGAAGACGCTGAAGGCTGCTGTCCCTGTGTCTGTCATACATTGACTTAGATCCTTTGGTCCTATGCTCAGGGTCCTTTACTTCACAACTGTCATTTCTGCTCTCTCTGTGGGTGGATTAATTAATACTCAGCCCTAACTGGGTATGAAAGGGCCAATGATGTTCTTCTCTCATACCCTTCCATGTATGTAGAGATGGTTCAAAACACAGATGGAAGGCCAGCCTTCACTTCCCCTGGTGTCAGGGCAACATTCAAGCCCCTAGGCATAATGCTCCAGCCCTTTCCGCAGAACCCTCTATTTCTGTGGAAGTAGGGCCCAGGTAACTCAGGGACAAAGCACACACTGACTTACCATGTGAGCCTGCACCTGCTGTGTGGAGAGGTACCTGTGAGGGTGAGATCATAAGAAGTGACAGCCGAGCTTTGATCCTCTGGCTTCTCAACTCCCCAGGCACATGAGATCCCTGCTGTTGTTGGCTGCCACCCTGCTGAGGCAGAGACCAGCCCGCCAGACAGACAGGCTATGACAGGCAGCTTAGCTGGGAGAGACATCAGCTTAGCCTCCATGTGCAAGGATGGTAGGAGCAGGAGTGAGAAGATGTATCAGTTAGCATTAATACTTTCTCCCACATCCTTTGTCCCTCTTCCTGGTCTGGCCTGTGTCTCTTCAGCTAGAAAGGAAGCTCAGTGAGCTAACAAGTCCCTAGAGGTACTTGCTGGAAACGTGTTTCATTCACCCATTCTACAAATATTCATGGACTCAGATATGACTCCTGCCTTGCTAGAGCTTCAGCATTGACCGGGAAGGCTCCATCTACTTTTTAAATACACTGTTCTGCATCACTACCTCCCACTACAACTCCCTTATATTCCTGCCCATCACTGAACAGGCCTAGAGTCATTTCACATTACTGTGGGTCAAGCCCAGATACTCCCAAGTGGAGCCTGCTATTGTTGGATCCCATGCTCCGAATAAAGCCTGCTGCAGGCAGCCTCTCTGGAGCAGCCCAGCCTCCCTCCTCTCATCCTTTGCATGCTGTGCTCTGCCCACCCTTTCCACTTTCCCCAGTCTTGGCCTTTTGTATCCTCTGTGGACTTGGGTAGGGGAACCTGTCCCATTCTCATGTCACCCTTCCATAATCTAAAGGAGTGTCCGACAGCCATACTGCTCTTTCTTTGCGGGGGTGCTACACCATATGCAGGTATATTCTGTTGACCCAATGAGAGTATGAGCCTCATAAGGCGAAGGATTCACCTCGCTGGTCCTGTAGTCGCAGGCACGTGCAGTACTGCATGCTCACAAAACAGTGAGGAAAGGCCACAGACTGCTAGAAACACACTGCAGGGAGAATTGATAGGAACCAGGTGAGAAGGCTGTGGATGGGAGCCCCCAGGCACAGTAGGTCAAGGGGAAACCTTGAAAAAATCAGGAGCCCTGTGTGTGCTCATCATCTGGCACAAGACAATACAGCCGAGGCTAAACCCGAGGACAGGCTGAGGCTGAACAGTCCTGCAGTGCCTCGGGTATTGCTGAGCCTGGAAACCCGACACAGAAGGGCTCCCTTCGAAGGGAGCAAAGTACGCCTTATGCTTTCTTTAACAGAACCTTGTTTGTAGACCTGTTTTAAGCTCACAACAACATTGAATGGAAAGTTCAGAAATTTCTCAAATTCACAACCTCCCCCAGTGTCGATACCCCCAGCAGAGTGGGAATGTGTTACAATGGAAGAACCTAACTGACAGTCATCACACCCAGGGCCTGCCATGCTCTGAGCAAGACCAGCTGGGAGATAGCACGTGTCCACCTTTGTAATAGCATCCCTGCTCTGCGTGGCCCTGATCTCCACCTGTAGCATGAGAGCTGGTGGGGCCAGCTCTGTGAGCTCCCTTCTGGTGAGAGAACAGCAGCCCCCTCTGTCCACAGTGCTGGCCTACATGCAACTGCTGGAGGACTACTCCGAGCCGCAGCCATCCATGTTCTACCAGACACCGCAGAGTGAGCACATCTACCAGCAGAAGAACAAGATGCTCATGGAGGTCTATGGCTTCAGTGACTCCTTCTGCGGTAGCGACTCCACGCAGGAGCTGGCCCCCCCACCCGCCTTGCCCCCCAAGCAGCGGCAGCTGGTAAGCAGTTCCCCATCTGTGTCCTTGGCACTGGGGCAGATGACCAGAGCTTCCGGTCCTAGCAAGCCTCCATGAAGTGGAGAGTGGTCTTCCTGGGGCCAGGTTGAACCTGCCTTTTTTCCACAGCGGAATCCTGGACTTAGGTGTGTTCAAGTCACTGTGTCCCACTTAGTACCGCTACTTCCTTCCCACATACTCACCAGCAGCCTCTCCCCCACACTGCCATCTTCCCACCCTGAGACAAAGGGCTTCCTCTAGAGCAGCCTGTGTAGCTGGGCCAGACTTGTGCTCAGAATGTTTGATTGCTCTGCTAACAGTGTCTTGTGTCTTCCCTTTCTTCTTTGGCTCTAACATAGACTTCATAGACAGGAGGAACTCAATCAAAGCACAGAGTGCTGTCTGTGTGCAGCCATCTGTGGACTTGACTTCCAGAAAGGGCTTCCATAAAGTGGCTTCCATCCCATCCCTGGCCATTGATGGCCCCATGGGAACAAGTTCCACTGAAGCAGGATGGCTCCAGACAGAGCCGCTTTGTCTTTCAAACCCTGCCGAGTCCTTCTTTGCACACCTCTGTTGGAGCCTGCGCAGGCTTGCGCACTCACCAGGGGGCGGCAGAGCACTGAACGCCAGTGCTTCCAACCTTGTTCTCCTTGCTGATGTGCACACTGGGTTAAGGGTCAGATTCTCTGGGCCAGCTGAACTCAGCAGAGGGGAGGTCTTGGGCTTTGCAGAGCTGTGTGGGCTGCCCAGTTTCTGGCAAGAGAGGGGACTTGTGTGTTGTGTGAGAGGAGGAAGTGAGCCATGTTTACCTGGTAGTGCCTGGGGCTTGGCCCAGCCTCAGGCTTCCAAGCTGTTCAGCCTTCCCAGGCCATAGCCAGCTAGCTAAGCAAGCATTTGCCTCTCTCAAGAAGCTCTTAACCGACCAGGTTGAGATGAAAGGTTGAGCTGGGATTTGGGAACGTGGGGTTCTGGCCCTGTCCATGGTACTACATAGGAATCTAAACCACTCTGCAGTTGTTTCCCAGAAGGTTCTCTTTATGGGAGTAGAAATACTAGCCCTGAGACCACTACTGACCAGTCCTTACTGAGGCTGCCCAGTTTCCCTGGGCATGTCTATACTGAGAAGTCCAGACTCTGAACAGCTGGATGCAGACTCCTCACAGGCTGTGACATGAGGCCACCTGTCCCACCATGCAGCTGGTGGAGCTAGACCAGCCAGTTAGAGACCTCCCCAGGCAGGTGCAGGTGCACATAGTCCTCACCTCAGTTCCTGATGCCCCACTGTGCATAAAGAGAGGCTGGGAACCAGAAGAACTTATCCCCAGGCCACAGGCTATCCAAAGACCTGGAATTCAAGCCCACTCCAGGTGAACCCTGGCCTACCACAGGAGAGGCTGTGCCGGCTGCTGCTTGCACACACATGCAGGAGCTGTGCATATCTTGCACACAAATGTGATAGCAGCAGTTATACTTATTCACATTCAGTGAGAGACAGGATTCACAGTGCTTTGTGCATAGCACCTCATTTAATCCAACCCCAAATGTACACAGAAGGTGTAAGAGTTCGCCACAATTTTCAAATGAAGACCCTGACCAGCAAGTTTTCTTTAAAAAAAAAAAAAAATGCCCAAGGCCAGAAGGTGGTCTCTAATGGGCCCAGATTCAAGAATAGGTGGACTGACCCGGGTCTGAGCTCTGAGGCCAGGATGACCACACAGGTCTAACCTGCTCCAAAGAGCTCAGGGTCCTGGGTCAGCCCAAGTCTGTGTGGCTTCGGCCCATTTGTCCTGCCATAAGACAGAATAGCAAGGCTCTCAATTAGGCAGCCTTTGGTGGAGCCAGGCAGCCATCCCTTGTAGGACACCCCTCACGGTATTAGACCCCGCAACTGTACTGCCTATGCTGACCATTCTCTGCTTTCTCCTCCTCCCTGCCTTCTCTTTCACCCTCTGTCCAGCAGGCCTCCTATGCTGCTTCTTCCTTCTCTGTTTCCTACTGTGTCCAGCAAACTAAAGTGGCCTTCACCCCCGAGGACGGCAGTGCCGCTCAGGGCCTCAGTGTATCCGTGTCTAACTCCTTTCTCAACCGGCACGGCAGCTTGCCTGTGCCCTCGGTGAGTTGCTCTTCCCCTGCTCTTCCTCACTTAGAAACTCATGCAGTTAATGCTTGAAGCCTGAGCCTCCTGGATGCTGTTGCTGCTGCCTGTCACCAGCCCTGTCCTTCTGCAGACCCTTGCCTGTCCACAGGAAAGAATCTGAATTCCCTGGGGCTTGGGGACTGTGTTTGGAGGTGGTGCGGGAGTGGAGGTGGGGGCTGCCCTGTCTGGAGCATGACACTGGGACAGAGCACAACCATCTCTGCTTCTGTGTTCTACTCTCCCAGAGGCCTAGGGCTGCATTTAATAGGGAGCCATCTTCATAGAGGAAGCAGGGCAGAGAGAACAGGCAACCAGGTGCAAGAGTGATAGTGGTTGAGTGCCGCTTCTTACCTCATGCTGTGTAAACACCCAGAGGCCTGTGACTTACAGCAGTGGCCCCTCATCTTTGCTCAGGACTCAGGTTTGCAGGATGGTGTGCTAATCCGCCCACGTGGACATCCTTGGGACCTGAGCTGAGACAGTTGGGCTAGTTTGTCACCACTGTCAGGCTGGTCTAGGCTTGTTCATGGAGCAGCTGGCAGGGTTCCAAAGCAACAAATGGAAAAGTGTCAGGTGCCCTGCAGCCTGAGCTCAGAACTGGCTCAGGGTCACCACATGGTGGCCACTCAGTAGAATCACAAGGATCACTGGCTGGGAAGAAGACCTGCTTCTGAGGGCAGGTACTGCCTGTCACCCTGACACAGACACAGGCCAGTGTCTGGAGAGAGCTTGGGAATGACACACAAGGAGGCCTGGCTTTATGGAGTCTGCATCTGCCCCAGAGCCAAGGCAAACACCTTTGTTCCTGTGGTCTTCTCAGTCTCAACGGAGAAAGAGTGGAGCCAAGTTCACTGCTCTAGAGAGCAGCATGAGCTCAGTGTTGATGTCTCTCTGGGCTTGAGTCTTGTGAGATGAGTGTGAATGAGAGAACTGTATCAGATGAAGCACCCGAGTGCAGGGGACGCTCAGTTGCTCAGTCACTGCCCATCTTGAGTTCTGGCTCTGGTCTTGTCCTACTTCTCATCCTCTGCTCAGGAGTAGAGCAGATGACTTCAGCCACCCAGTGCTCATCACCCCCTGGGAAAAGCTTAGATAGCTGATTGTAAAACTTGTGCAGGTTCCCAGTTTGGTTTTTGTCTGCTGTCTAGCTTTGTCTGGGCTTTGCAGTTCAATGATCAAAGCCTTCAGGAGGGCCTGGTAGTGTAGAATCTCCTTTCTCAAGTGCTCAGTAGTGCTGGGTATATGGGACAGGCCGAGTCACCTCTGCCCTACCACACAGATAGCTTGGTTCCTCAAACGGCACCTCTACCAACCCTCCACTGACCTCGCAGAACTTGGTTTTAGAAAATCCTGACCCTTGACTGTTATACACACACACACACACACACACACACACACACACACACACACACACACCCCCTTTGGAATCTCTTCTTATTCCTTCTGAACTGTTAACAGAGCACGGTAGGTGACCTGGGCTGTTTGCTACAGAATTGTAGACAGGGTCATTTTCTTAGTTTTGGGTCTGAGTGTATCACAGTTATGGAATGTTGAGGCATCTTACATGACTCTGCATTCTTAGCTCCAGCTCCAGAAAAGAGTCCAAGGGGCCACACTAAAAGGATATGCTGTTTAAATGAAAGGGAAGAGTCTCAAGTACCATGAATGACAGCTTAAACTCTTACAGTGTGTGTCAGCTGATAGGCAGAACCCTGTGGAGTGATCAGCTCTTCACACAGTCTCTGGTCATCTCTACAATCAGAGCAGGTGTGGGCTAGCTCCAAGAAGGATGGAAATGACTGGCCACATACCTGAGGGGCTCGTGGTTCAGTAGACATAGTCAGATAAGCTGAGAAAGCTGAGGCTAACGTGTAAATGACAGCAGGAGTCAAAGTCACAGAGACAGGGGAGAGGAAGGCATTGGTGGGTAGCTTAAAGGACAGTTGTGTCTGAGAGACAGATAACAAGAAAAGACAGTCAAACATGTTTCAAACCCAGGGCCTTGCTTCAGAGATATTGGCTAGGAAGCCCAGGAACCTTTCTGAAGAGCCATCTAGAACATAAGCAAAGGGACTGAGATCACAGGTCCAGAGAGCAGTGGCAGTATGCTATCCCAAGCAGACTCAGGAATACACCCAGGAAGAGCCAGGGCCCAGCCTTCCTTTGTTCAGCAGGGCCCTTTATGTTGGCTGAGCCTGGGAGTTAGTCCCTAGGTAGCCTACAGCCTGCCCACAGCCTCCCATGCTCTCCTGATGTAGGTATTGCTCCTGAAGACTTGAACAGCAGCCAGGAAAATTGTGTCTTCAGGGTCATTTAAACTTGCATGACAAGAAAGGTACTGAAAAAAATAAGAGGGAGACTAAAGCAAGAAAGATGGGAAGCCAGGAGCCGGCCTTTGCTGAGATCCAAGAGGCTACTGCCTGACCCTCTTTGACCATGGCCTCATTTTACCATGGGCCTGCCATGTACGTGTGCTTGAGATGTAGCCTCCTGGCCTTCCCCAAGCTGCCAAGCTACCTGAGCTTCAGGTGTGGTGCCAGGCACTTCTTCCTGTCCTAGACTCTCCCTCCCCCTGGCTTTCCAGGTTCTGCCAGCCTGTGGGCTACTTGGTGTGTCCTTGTTGTAGCTCAGCTATGGAACTGCCCAACTTCCTCCCACCTCTCTCTCTACCTGTGTCCTAGCCATCCGGTTGCGTGTCTCTTTTCTGCCCTGAATAATATGAGTTTGGTCCATATTTACATCGCCCTTGAGCAATAGTGACAGCATTGAGACCCAGTGACCACAAGGGTGCCCAGTCCCTCTGTGTATACTTGTGGAGAGGGCAGTAGAGGATCGCCTTTCCCTTTCCCCAGACGGTTTTATGTCTCCTTTCTTTACAGCACCCATTCTACGTGCTACCACCACCAAGAGAACTGTTGGGGTGCTAGACTGTTGCCAGGTTTCTTTCCCATCCAATTCTGGATAAGTAAAATAGGTAGCTGGTTTTACTTTGAGAGGTTATGTTTTTTGGTCTGTTGTTTTGTTTTGTTTTGTTTTGTTTTGTTTTGTTTTTTAAGATATATTTTATGTATATGAGTGCTTTATCTGAGTGTACCCCTGCAGACGAGAAGAGGGCATCAGATCTCAGTATAGATGGTTGTGAGCCACCATGTGGTTACTGGGAATTGAACTCAGAACCTCTAGAAGAGCAGGCAGTGCTCTAAACCACTGAGCCATCTCTCCAGCCCGAGAGAGGTTATGTTTAAATGCCCATAATGATGCTTATGACTTAAAACAAAAATCTTTGGGATATGAAAGCTAAGTGTAGCTGGGCAGTGGTGGTTCTTGCCTTTAATCTCAGTACTCAGGAGGCAGAGGTAGCTCTGAGTTCAAGGCTAGCCTGTTCTACAGAGCTGAGTTCTAGGACCCCCAGGGCTCCACAGAGAAAGCCTGTCTTGAACCCCCACCCATCCAAAAAATAGAAAGCTAAGTGTGCATCATCATAGTCCCCAGTGTTCTGGAAAGGGTTGTAAAGCAGCTGGTATCTCATTCTAGTTTCAGATAGTCCTTTCTTTCTCTGAGCAGTTGGATCCAGGTTTTTGGTGCATCACACATGTGTCCTTCACAGAAGACCCTGGTCTCATGTAAACACTTGGCTTCTACGCTGTGGCCATAGATACAGCCAAAGCCACCTCCTGAGATGTGCGACTGGCTCCTTACACCCTGTCAGTGTGCCTGTGTTTTGCCTGGCCAAAAGGTATACCTGAAAAATCACCCAAAAGCCATCACAGACACCATAGGCACACCACCTGGTCTAAAAACCAAACAGGAAATCGGGGGATGAAAGAGAGATAAAATAGAAGAATAAGGGTGGACAGGAAAGGATACAGCACATGATGGGGTGTGAGGACGGGCTCAGGCTGCTTGACATAACATAAGCAGCCCTTGCTGGTCCCATCCCATCTTGTCTTCACTCACTTCCTGGCCTAAGCAAGACCAAATCACACTGGCACATGAGAGAAAGGGATGTGGAGGTTAAGACCCAGTGACCCAGGGCCAGAGAGGCGGTGCTCAGAACCACGTCTCTCCTGGCCTGACTTCCTGGGTTTCCGTGAAAGGTTTCTTGCATTGTTAGCATCAAGAGGGTTTCCTGTATAGGGGAGAAAGTGCCTGTTTTGTGAAAAGCCACTACATAGACCTTTGTCTCACAGTCTGGAGTTTGGCAGCACAGTAGTCTACAAACCCAGATCTGATGTCCCAGGATCTCTAGCTATTTTTGTGCAGACTTCTGTCTACCGCTAGAGTCTGAGCTCCTAGCCAGTATGGAGAAGGTGATCAGTGAGTATTCACTCCTATCTCTTCTCTGTGATGGCTCCACAAACAGCATGTGTACCCCATGTTCATCACCACACAGCCCCAAGGTCCTTCCGGTGCTACAAAGCCTTCATGTTCCTCTCTCATATGCTGCCACAGTCACACCCTGCTTTGCTCCCCCAGTGTCCCACTTCTGTGGTAAAATGTTCCCATCCCCGCAGCACCAGGCCAACACTCACATGGTCTTCTGAGGCTCCAGCTGGCCCTTGAAGTAAGCCATGGTCCCTGCAGTAACTCACCTTATGCTTTTCTGCCGTTACACAAAGTCCCAGGCAGCCACAGGCCAGCACTGCCTGAGTGCACAGACAGGCTAGGCCCTGCTCAGCACCTCACTGTAAAACCTCCTAGAGTGGTAGGTGTGCCGTGCACACTAACACTCCCACCTAAAGAGAGCCCCAGTGTATAAGTTCCCAGCTCAGGGAAAGCAGGGACAGGACCAGGCTGCCTCACTATGCTGGGATGATGAGGGAGTGAAATATAGCCTGACTTGGGGCCAGAGGTCAGTGCTCCTTGACTTGAGGCTTTCACAAGCTGTGCTTCTGAAATAGCCACCAACCATCCACCCCGCTAGGATTCTAGGCTTACTGTTGTCTTCTGAGCCCTAGCATTTTAGCACGTCAGGC